AAAACATTAAACCTGATACTTTTACCATCATTTTAGCGTGAAGGCAAAGTAATTCCACACAGGCCAGGCACGGTGGCTCACGCGTGTAATCTCAACACTTTGAGGCCAAGGCAAGTGGATACCTGTGGTCAGTTCTGAGACAAGCCTGGCCAACATGGCAAAACCCCATCTCTATTAAAAGTATAAAAATTAGCTGGGCATAGTGGCACATGCCTATAGTCCCAGCTATTCAGGAGGCTAAGACACAAAAATCACTTGAACCCGGGAGGCAGAGACTGCAGTGAGCCAAGATCCCACCACTGCACTCCAGCCCGGGAAATGGTGAGACTGTCTCAAAAGTCTCTAAGAACTTTGAAGAGTTATTTCAACTACAAAGAAGCTACACCATGAAGGCCAGGAGTGAGAGATGAAACATCGATGGGTAATGGTTAAAGAAGAGTAAATTTAAGTAGAGACTATAAAAATTACTTTGAGACAAAACCTCATTGTTAGGCTGGAGCTGTCACTCACTGTACCCTCAACCTCCTGAACCCTGGCAATCCTCCTGCCTCACTCAGCTTCCCAGAGTAGCTGGGTCCACAGGTACACTGCCACACCCAGCTAATTTTTATTTGTAGAGACTGTCTTGTTGCCCAGGCCGGTCTCCAACTCCTGGGCTCCTGCTTTGGCCTTCCAAAGTGCTGAGATTACAAGTGTGAGCCACCAACCTGGCAAAATTATGTAATCGTGTAACCAACTGGGAAGGTTGGCTATGGAGGGGCAAAATAAATTGAAACAAAAAATACTAGCCAAAAATTATATGGAAGATGTTTAGGGTAGGAATAGAGATACTGATGAGCTTTGGAGTTTAAATATGCATGTTGAAATACTGAGTACTGTAAGAGAAATAGGCTGGCTACAGTGGCTCACGTCCGTAATCCAGCACTTTGAGAGGCCGAAGTGGGTGGATCACGCATGGTGCATGCCTGCAATCCCTGCTACTCAGGAGGCTAAAGCAGGAGACTCCTTTGAACCTGGGAGGTAGAGGTTATAGTGAGCAGATTGTGCCACGGCACTCCATTCTGGGCAAGAGACCTCATCTCAAAAAATAAAATGTAAAACTTCCAAGGAATAGGGATAAAAACCCAGTGTGGAGATAAGACCTGGTAATCCTTTAAAGATAAAGCCTAAAGCCCCAATCAGTTCAGTTTTTTATACATCTTTGTTTCTCTACAGGGACATCTGAATGGGACAGATATTTCTCTCTCTCTGGAAGACTTACTCCAGTTGCTTTCATCACAGCCTGAAAATTCACTGGAGGTAATTGGAACCTTGGCTTTTATCCTCATAGGAACTTAACTGCACTGACCTTTTAGTGAATATAGCTCCTTTACCTGAATGACAAAGGAATGCTCATTTTTACAGAAGCACTTCAACTTAAAATTAACCAAATAACCAAACACGTGTAGCATTCCTCTTCCTGAATAATCCCAAAGGTATAATCAAATATGGACCAGTCATGGAACAGCATGTAGATTTCTCAAAAAACAAAGTCAAACTATCATGTAATCCGTCAGGCATTTATCTAAAGGAAAGGAAATCTGTGTAAAGGGACACCTGCACCCCCATGTTTATTGCAGCAATATTGACAATAGCCTTACAGTCTTTTAAACCTCTGCCTTTCACAGACTACTTCACTGTAGCTTATTATCCCTGACCCTCCACAATGTGATTGCCAACGGCTAGGATTCAAGTTGCATCTTACTATATAAAGTAGTAAATTACAAGACTGTAATATTAGATTTCTTTAATAACAAAATCCAGTCAGCTTTTATACTAATCAATCTTAATTTCTACATTATGCGGAATTATTTACTTCAAGTCTAAGTATTCTGATTAGGACTCACACAATTGTATTGCCTGTATTTTAACTAGGGAGTTACTGTCAACAGTATACCCCTATTAAACACAGAGGAACTGACAAAAGTGAGGAAGGTTGTGTTAGGTTATAGGACTGCTTCAGTAGAGCTATTTATGTTTAAAGTGTTTCTCCTTTGTTTTTCAGGGCATCTCACTGGGAGATATTCCTCTTCCAGGCAGTATCAGTGATGGCATGAATTCTTCAGCACATCATCATGTAACCTTCAGCCAAGCTATAAGCCAGGATGTGAATCTTCATGACGCCATCTTGCTTTCTCCCAACAATACATTTATAAGAGAGCCAGTAGCAAAGACTTCACAGCCCCAAGAACCATTTCTGCAGTTTCATTCTCATACCACTAATCCTGGGCAGACTCCTGGAACTAATTTGACAGGATATCTCCCACCTGTTGACAATCATATGAGGAATCTAACAAGCCAAGACCTTGACTTAAATATATTTGATGAGATAGATCTAATGTCATTACTCGCCACAGAAAACGACCTGGATCAAATCGATATTTCTCAGCTTTTTGATGAACTGGATTCTGAATCTGGCTTTTCTTTGGATTCAAGTCACAACAGTACCTCTGTCACCAAATATAATTCCTCTCCCTCTGTGTGTGATGAAGGTGCTACAGGTTATAGTAGTAACTATGACTTAGGTGCTGTAGGAGGCTACTACCAAGAACCCAGTAAGCTTTGTCACGTGGATCATGATTCTGGTTTCCATGGGGATCTTACATTTCAACACATATTTCATAACCACACTTACCACTTAAAGCCAAGTGCACCAGAGTCTACTTCTGAACCTTTTTCATGGCCTGGGAACTCACAGAAAATAAGGAGTAGGTACCTTGAAGACGCAGATAGAAACTTGAGCCGTGACGAACGGCATGCTAAAGCTTTGCATGTCCCTTTTTCTGTAGATGAAATTGTCCACATGCCTGTTGATTCTTTCAATAGCATGTTAAGTAGGTACTATTTGACAGACCTACAAGTCTCACTACTCCGCGACATCAGACGAAGAGGGAAAAATAAAGTTGCTGCTCAGAACTGTCGTAAACGCAAATTAGACATAATTTTGAATCTAGAATATGATGTATGTAACTTGCAAGCAAAGAAGGAAACGCTAAAGAGGGAGCGAGCACAATGTAACAAAGCTATTAACATAATGAAACAGAAACTGCATGACCTTTATCGTGATGTTTTTAGTAGATTAAGAGATGACCAAGGTAGGCCAGTTAATCCAAACCTCTATGCTCTTCAGTGTAGCCATGATGGAAGTATCTTGATAATACCCAAAGAACTGGTGGCCTCAGGCCACAAAAAGGAAACCCAAAAAGGAAAGAGAAAATAGAGAAGAAACTGAAGATGGACTCTATGTGAAGTACTCATGTTCAGAAACTGACTCTTTGAATCAGAAACCACTGAAACTTCGTATTATAGTACTGCTACTTGAATAACTCAGGCTGTGTTTTGAAGCTTATATGGACAAATGTTTAGGACTTCAAGATCACACTCTTGGGAAATCCAGGGGAGCCACAACCCTTCACAAAATTGTCCTAATTACATTGTATACAAGATTCATGAATACTTATATTAATAAGACTTTCCACTTTGGCAGCCATCCTTTTTAGTAAATTACTTCAAAAAGAGCTAACACTGGGGATGAAATTAAGAGGTATTTCGGTTTTTAAAATGCGGAATAGCCTTACTACTTTGTTAGCACTATAGTGAGCTTTTCAAACAATATTTTAATCTATTTAACTTATAAATTTTGCTTTGTGGAAATAAATGTATTTGTATTAAAAATTTTTCCTTTTTATACAGAAATCTAAAGCAGCAAATTTACCTTTCCTTCCCAAAATACCCACAATTAAGGAATATAGGTGACAAATAGAGCATTGTAGTGATTTTCAAAACTTAACAAATTAGACTCAAGCCAAACTGAAGTCACATAGTATGCCCAAATAAGGGAGATCCACCCCCCCAAATACTTAATACACAGAATACTATGTTAGAGTGCATTGAATACCAATAGTTGCTGGTAGTTTAAGCCACAGGCCTTCCTCCTGTAACCAGAGAGAATGGGCTACCTGCATAAACAGAACTCCTTAAGCGTATATTAAATCCATAAAATCTGATAAGTAGTAAAGCTAGCCTGAAGGGATGGTCTCACATAATACTGAGATCTCACCAGATCGTTAGAAGCCATCTAAACAAAACAGAAGAGTCAAAAGACAGTGAAACCATCTAAAAAACTATTTAAAATGGGTAACAGCTATGGGGGAGAGGGAAGAGGTGAATTTGAAAATAAACCAGGGTAGGGTAAATTCTAGAAATAATAGCATTTGAAATGAAAACCTAACAAGTTCATTGGCACAGTAAACAGAAGATTGTGAATTTTCTGAAAACAATGACCAAGTTTGGGGAACATTAAAATTTTAATCTGTACTATTAGTCTAATGCTTATTATCCAAATTTTAGAATAAAGTCTCAGGTATTTCTGCCACAGGAATTCCTGACAGTGTAGACTATCACATAAGTATCCTGGGCTAGGAGTGCAGTTTATATATACAGTCGGATTTTTATGATGAAATTTTGTTCCAAAGCTGCCATTTTGCCAGACATGCTTCTAGATACAAGTATTGTACCTTCAATGACTCATGGTGTTCCTGACAAGTTGCTTTTTGCAAGGGAGTACTTCAGATGTCTTAAGCTTCATGTTCACAATTTAAGGATACATATAAAACATTTCAGTCCATAGCAGGAAGTTTTACAGTACCAATTTGTTTCAAAACTAAGTGCAGTCACATGAGCCCCTGCTTATCAGACAGCATTCTTTTCAAGCCTCTATAAGGAACATACAGTGGAGAAAATGCTTTCAGTCACTGGTTACTGAGGCTGAAATGCAGTGGTCCTAATCACAGATCCAGCCTTGAACTCCTGGACTCAAATGTCTGCGGCAGCCTCCCTAGCAGCTCAGATTATGAACCATGCCAAGCCCTAAGCTTAAACCGTAAGAAAACTTCCATACAGCACACACGAATTCAAGTAACTGCAAACAATATAAAGTGATTGTCTCTGTACTGAATTTTTCACTGTAATGCAGCATACTATGTACCCAGCTTTCTACCAGTATTAAGTGACCTATACTCACTCATGAGATATGCTTAGGTCACGTGCAAATACATTTCATAAAACGGGCCTAAAGCATCCATATTTTGGTATGGTGGTGGTTCCTGAAACTGATGTCCCCCTCCCCCAGAACAAGGGACTTCTGTGCATTAGGAAGTCAGCTTCACAAGATCTAAATGACTATGGGCTGGTTTTATGATACAACCCCACCTTCACCTTAACATGCAGGATTCAAGGCATAAAAACTGGATGTGCTTGCTTTTGTATCATTGACAGTCCAGTTTTAAACATGAAATTCCACATTAGGTTTCTAGTGCAAACCAACTAGATGACAAAGCCAATGACCAAAAGCTGACAACTGCTGGCTAGGACTCTCCACATTACCTACCTAGTTGAGTAGTCTTGATTTTATGAGTAAGATAAAGACGACCCAAGTGGGACACTTTTCCAATTAAAATTCTCACTCGAGCTTCTTCACAAGCATTATCAGATTTTAGGCCAATTGTATAGAAACTCCAAGCAAACGAGGCCATCTAGATTTCTTGAGGTCCCCTGGTCTCAGAGCAGGCTTAGGTTCAGCAGATCTTCAGAACACAAAACAGCAGCAGCATACAAGTTTGTGATAACAATCTTAACTTTCCTAAATGCACTCAAGTAGCTAGAACATTCTTCCCCCATCTCAATCTTTGAACCATTAAATTTGTTCTCCGGTAAATCTGCACACCTCACTGGTTATCCCTCAAACCCCCTCCAACACCCCAAAACAAGCCAATGTTAGTTTCATTACTAAAATAATGGAAATGTCAAAATTGTGTGATCAACCATCTTAGTACATTAGTTCCAAATCTTCAGCAAATTTAAGCAACATGCACACTCCAGGTGTCCTGAAATACATGCCTTTCTACCTTTTGCACTTTTCAACCAACATTGATGAACTGAGACTTGTTGCCTTACATTGTTAGTTTTTAACACCTAATGAATATTAGGTCAAGCCGATTTAAACCAACTCATTTTGCACTGATCTACCAAATTAGACTACATGGAAAACCTTATACATACAGATCATTTCACAGAAGTGCATAAAAACTTAATAAGGGCACCTCGAGTGTGGCAGCCAGCATCTAAGAGTTCCCAATGATCCCTAGCTGCTTGGTAATTATACCAGTGGACAGAACCCTCCCACCACATTCTGTAACCATAAAGGATGCAAGATGGCATGACTATGTTGTAGTGTTCATTTTACAGCTTTTCTTGCTTTAGTCACTCACCAAGGGAAGCTGACGGCATTAATTTTTCAGCCCTGTTAGTATGCCACTCTGGATATAAAAATTCTCCAATCCTAGTTTTTGGTGATTGCAACCTTGAGCTTTACCCTGATTCAGTTAACTTGCTCCCAACTGCTGACCCATAGATGAAGTTTGTTTAGAGAAACTGCTAAGTTGTTACACAGCAACAATATAAAGCCCTAGGCAAAAGGCAGCCTTTCTTCATTTAGGGTGCTGTCTCAAGGCTGCCACAAGAACTATCTTAAACTTCAAGAAACGGCTCAACACACAATACATACAAAAAATAAGCCTATGTTGAACATCCAACATTACCCTGTTTCAGTAAACCCTCTTTAAATCAATTCATTTCAGCCTATTGTGCATTACCTAATTCTCCCCTATTTGTGTGATATTCCCTTGACCGTGCTGGATCAGAGTTGCTATTTTGAGGTTGTGCATACTATTAACTTGATGTATTCTCAACGTTCAACATCTTTGTACATCACACATTTTTAAACCTTCAAAATTAACTTTCTTGGAGTTGATCTATTTGTACAAGTCTAATTGATTAATTCCACTACTATTTCAAATGCAAAGCTGCTTTATACTTGTTAGCTGCTGTTAGTTTGACTTACCTGTTAAGATACCTCAAATTATCAAAACCAAAAGAAATTACCATGGAATCAATTAACTTGGCCCTTGTTATTTGTTTTGGTTTTCTTAATTCAGGTAAATGTCCAAATAAACACCGTTATTTAAAAAGCCTTTAAAAAAAAAAAAAAAAAAACAAACCAGATACTCATTTACTCAGTGTAAAACACAATAAAACTAATTGACATTTGACAATCTAGTACATATTTTAAGCCTCAGTGCTTTGCAAAAGCAGTTAATCTGGAACACTCAGGCAGGTTAATTTAAAATCCATGATTTTCAAACGCCAAGTACTGTTAAACATACAAGGTAAAGCCAGGAACTTTAGGAGTACTCAAACGCTGAATATACAGTGCATAATGAACAGCATTTTATTGGGGACAGCCAATAATGTCCACAGTGCTCTTCTATCTGTAAATATTAAAAGAAAATATGCATAGCTTTGTGAAACTGCTTTAAAAAATTTAGGGGATGGTGATCTTTTAGACAACCAAATGTTTATAGAACAAGATTCACACATTTTATGTGTAAACATTACACCAAATATTTGGATACAAAAGTATTTATTTTATAAACTTTAAAATAGAATTTTAATCTGTCTACTCACAAAACCTAATTTAAAAACATGATACATTTATCTCTCTAGCCAAGTTGATGTTACTGTTTTACAAACAACACTCATTTTGTAACCGTTTTATATCAAGAACCTGAACTAAATGTTTCAGAAAACATTTCCCTTTTATTTTAAAGAGTGCTTTTTAAATGAAGGCACAAACAAGAACTACTTTCAGATGGTACAGAATTTCTTATTTCTTGAAGACTCTGTGGTTGACCACTTCTTCATTAGTTACCTGCAGCAAGACACCTTCCTGCCAAAGGAAAAAAAAATTATCTGAAGAAGTTTATCATGTTTGTCCAAAAGAACCTAACAACTTCAGTGGTGGTCTTAGGATCAAAGAAGACTCACTGGTGCACATAGTAGAGTAAGCCCTGAATATCACATTCCTGTAAAGGCAATAAAGCCAGGCAATCAAATTGATATCTAAGCAATGAATCTTAACAGCCAACCTACAACTTCCTCTTCAGGGTAAGACACTGAACTACAATTACCACATTTAACCCACCTATTTAGTACTGGATACATACAGGCTTCATAATGTAGACAGACACTTCACTCAAGTATGAACTATTATCTGAAAATAGATTCAACCATTTTGACGCTACCTTCTTTCAGTCTCATCCTGATAAGCATGTACAGCTAGAACCGTAAATAGAACAAATGTCTTTAATAAAAACCCCTGGTTCATTCAAAATGTTTGATCCAAGAAATGTGAATACACAAGGGTGTAATGATGGGAAATCTCATATTTATTCAATTTGCAGCCTAACTTTTACCTACCATTTTACTACCAACACCACTGAAGGAACCAAGAAAAGCTTTATTAATGATCACTTGGCTTGCCTCAGCTGTTGAAATGAAGCACTTTACAGTCTTTGTGGCAGCAGAATATACTTGTCCATGGCTCATATCAATGCTAAAATTCCAGCAGGGAAAAAAATGATATGTTAAGCACCTGAATCTTCACATGGAGGGGGAGGGGGGGAAAGGAGGAAAAAAAGGGAAAAACAACCAAAATAATTTAAGTAAATGACAGATTGGAAAACAGGGTTTATAAAAATTCTCTTGAGTTTATGAATTGTTAAACTCAATTTATAGCTATGTTAAACTACTTAAGAACCACTATACTGAAAGACCATTGAAGAATATTAGTTTATCTTTTAGGGAGGAAAATTAAGAAAGGAAAAGTAAATAAGATCTTACCTAAAGAAGTTTAACTGAAGCTTAGAACTATTTTGCTCTACACCCTCAGCTTTCGTTGGCATCCTTATAAACTACTGTAGTTAAAGTTTTGTAGAAACAGCACAGTTTTTTAAGACTGGCTGAACTTAGTAGCCGTCAAGAGTTCTCTTGTACTAGACCTGTGTCCCTGAAGAGTACCTCGCTGGGGTTATTTCCTTTCCTTGCATTGAAGAAGCAGCATCTAAAAGATCTAAAAAGGTGTTTCTCCTTGCAGAGATATCCCTTAAGTTATCTACATAATTTAATCCTGATGAATTGCAGACAACACACTTATATCTGACCAGCATTTATCTTACACAAATATAACAACAGCTTTGCAACGAACCTTAATTATACTACCCACTCCTTAACTTATTTAAAATAAAAAGTCTATAATTACACAATTTCCTTTAGAATTATTTTATTAAATCATAAATGTACAACAGCTTCTTAACTCTACACACGCACTTAAATTTTTTTAAAGGAAAAACGTTATGTCTTATTACACCATGATCCTGGCTAATAGCTTTTCAAAACTTTGAGAAAAATCTTAAAAAAGGTTTCACATGTCACCTGAAACTTACAAATTTAACATTATCAAAGAAGGAATGCTTCTACACTCTTACAAAGACCACTAGAAAGAAACAACAATTAAAAAGCTAAGAAACTGTCTCAAAGGCATTTTTTTTTTTTTTACAATCCTTCCTCCACAGTAAGGTAATGTTATTAAATAATCCAATCCATTCACAAAATGGCTCTCTGCATCTGCTCTGGTGTCTTCTGCCATATCACTGCATATTTATGCATGACTGAGATAAGAGTTTCCTTAACATTGTTATTTCGATAACCTGAAGCTGTTCTGTTACCTCTGGGCTCTCATCCTCTCCTATTTATACAGTGAAGCCTGTTTCAACAGAAGTAAAGAGTAAAAAAAAAATAGGTTATGAAATTATCCATCTAACCAGATTTTAAGGAAAGATAACATGATCCTAAAAAGCTTTTACTCCTGCAGCTAGGTCTCCCAAGATAATAATAATTGTAAAACTCAAAAGCTACTTACCCATGGCAAAGAGGAAGAAGCTCAATATCGGCTCCTCCCACCATAACCCCCACTTCCTCCACTGCCTCCTGGACCATAGTTTCCTAGAATTGTTGGAACAGAAAGAGAAAACAAACTTAGACTTCCCATGATCAGCCTACTACAGCTGATTCTATTTTATATCTATCAAATCTTTAAAACAAGCAGATCCTAACTTGGGCAGCCAGTTAGCAGAATTACTTTGTGGCTGACACTATTCTTTTCAATAAAGGGTTGGTCCTCTCACCATCATTTGCACTAAGATTTTTTAAAGTACATCAGGCACAATACAGAAAACATATAGTCCTACTAAAAACCTTAAGAATAAACTAAGCAATGGTTTGAATCATGGTTGAAGTATTTAACTTCAAAGACCCTCATAACAAATTTATACCACTTGCAATGCGGGTTGCATTTTTACTTGGCTGTTTATGAGGCCCTACCAGAAACTCTTTCAACTACTGAACATTCCCACCTCCAGCACCCCTAATCCCAATTTGATGTTATAATTACTTGCTGAAATATTTCTGGAAACTTACGCATTAAGGCTGAATGTGGAGCACTGCCCAAATACAAACTACTTAGCATGGTATCTTCCCTTTAAATCACAAAAGGCTAATTCCTTAATCACAAAAACCTGAAAATCTCAATTTTTAGTTATAAATTACCTCCACCATATGGTCCCCCCATGTTCCTGCTACCACCAAAGTTTCCACTCTTCATTGGACCATAGTTAGAAGGCTGCTGGTTATAATTTCCAAAATCATTGTAATTTCCACTTCCGTAATTTCCTATAAAAAAATTGGAATACTACCATAACGGACCGCAGAACAATACAAACATTAAACCGATGATACATACTGACTATTCAGGCCAAAGTTCCCACAAAAACAAATAAAAGCAAGCACTTATCTATAACTTTTAAGGGCCTCCAGTGACAAATATTGTAATAAAAGACCAAATGTTACAAAACCATTGATTCCACCCCCAATTCCCAAATAATGGTTCTTATAAATTCCCAGATAATTGCCTGTGAATTTATTACCTCCTCCATAGTTGTCATAACCACCTCCGTAGCCCCCACCCTGGTTGCCATATCCAGGTCCTCCACCACCATATCCTCCTCTTCCTCCTCCATAACCAGGGCTACCTCCAAAATTGCCACCTATTATAAAATAAGCCTTTAAGTAATCACTTAATATTTTTAATGACATTCTTAACCATCTCATCACACCCATTTACAGCTTTCCAAAAATACACATTTGCATGTGAAACATTCAGTGAGATCTCTCTAAAATAGCTTCAAGGACTGAATACATACCCTTGGTAAACATTTGGTGGCTGGGGTGCCTACCCAACCAAATGGATAACACCATGTCTACACTCTGAAAATACCTGTATCGCAGCAGTTTTCCCTTAAAACTAAGTATCTTAAGGTTACCTTTACAAGGTATCTTGAAACACTGCATGTATATTTTGGCTAACGATTGCGAGGCTAGACTAGCAGTGTGGGCTCAGGGAAAAGTAAAAGAGCACCTCCTCTTACTAGCCCAAAGATAAAAGTTTCTATTATGTCTACGTACGAATTACCACATCTTTCTTAAAACAATGTTCTCAGCTGGCTGTGCCTGCCTGTAATCCCAACAATTTGGGAAACTGAGGCAGGCGGATTGCTTGAGCCCACGAGCTCAAGGCCAGTCAGGGCAACATAGCAACCCCCCCCAACAAAAAAACCAAAATTAGCCATAATGGTGGCACACCCTTGTAGTTCACCTACTCAGGAGGCTGAGGAGAGAGGATGGCTTGAGGCCAGGAGGCCAAGCTTGCAGTGAGCCAAGATCACACCACTGCATTCCAGTCTGAGAAACAAGGCCAGACAGAGTCTCAAAGAAAGAAAAAAAAAAAAAAAAAAAAACAACACTCCACTAAATATGTTCTTTACTGTATCCTAAATAGAAGTGGGAAAAGAAAAATGTACTTTCACATAATGCAAAAGTTAAAAAAAAAAGCTTGGGGGCCGAGTCTCCAATTACTTGTAGTTAAGTACAAGAATTCAACTTTCTCTAAAATTTTCATTACAAAATGCAGGAACACTGAGATACAGTACCTAGTCATGCCTAATGAGTGGCAACACCAGAAATCAAGTCTATTACCAATTCATAGTTTTAAAAGTCCCTTATCACTAAATCTGTCAGCATGTACCATCCTTTTCTATACACGAGTAAAACTCAATCTTTACAGATTACTTCACTCATGTTTAACCGTAGTTCACACTTGTATCTGCAGCCAGGAGCACACTAAATATTTTTGAATATTTCCTCAGAAAGCTATCCTGGGATGCTTGTCATCTAAGTGTTAAGAGACATTTTGTATTTTTCTCCTACATATATTCTCCCCCTTATGTTTTACTCTCGGTTAAACCCAGTATTCTGTACTTTTCCAGAGAAACACAGTACAATATTTATCTAAATCCTACTCAAGAGATGGCATCTTTATTTTTTATTTAAAATGGCACTCTAAAGGCCAGGTGCAGTGGCCAACACCTGTAATCCCAGGCCTATGGGAGGCCAAGGCGTGCAGATCTCTAGGTCAAGAGATCAAGACCATGGTGAAACCCCGTCTCTACTGAATACAATTAGCCAGGCATGGTGGTGCACACTTGTAGTCCCAGCTATTCGGGAGGCTGAGGCAGGAGAATTGCTTTAACTGGGAAGTGGAGACTGCAGTGAGCCAAGCACACCACTACACACCAGCCTGACAACAGGCCGGAGACTCCTTAAAAAAAAGGGGGGGCAGGGCACTCTAATTCCTTAGTAACTGCTAAACCAGCAAACTACTGGAACACTATTGCCCAAGCTGTTTATAAAGGATAACAGAAAATACTTAAAAACTCTAAGTATAAAATGAGCCAAACATACAACATGCTGAAGTATTAATCACATAAACCAAAATGTAAAGGAAACTGACCTCCGGGTCCTCCTCCATACCCATTGTAGCCATCCCCAAATCCACGTCCACTGCCATATCCATCTGTTAGGAGCCAAAAAACATTACATTTACTATAAACTGTTCCGCATTACTGAATTTCTAATACTCATTTTTTCAGTTCTCTTAACTCCTCGGCACAGGAACCTCAGAAAAGCACACAGTGTTACCACTCTATTCACAAAACATCAAAGCATAAAAATCTCATTTCCACCTAACTTTTGGACTCTGAACAAGTCTCAATTTTAGAGATTCCATTCCATTCATAAAGAAAACATTTGATGGGGCCAAAGCTTTTCTGATGACATTTTACAACATTAATCCAGATAAATACGATTGTTATTAATAAAAACCCTACTGCCTTCTTTTCTAACCAAGTCACAGGGGCTTGCCAGCATATAATGTATTTGAAGGGTCTTAGGGAAAATTTCGATTTAGGTTGGATTTCCCGTTTCTAATGAAAACCTAATGACATTTAAAACAAAAGCAACATCATCCTTCAAACACTTGTAACTTGAACTCACCAGATCCTCCTCTAAAGTTACTTCCTGGTCCTGGTCCGAAATTTCCTCCGCCGCCACGAGAATCCCCAAAGCCAAAGTTGCCTACAATAAATGCCCCAGTTAAAGCAAGCACTTATATGAATAAAAAGCAAGAAAAAACAGAATTAAAATTACCTCCTCTTCCACTCCTAGAACTTTGAACTTCCTGCATTTCTTGTCTAGACAAAGCCTTTCTTACTTCTGCATTATGACCATTGATGGTATGGTATTTCTGCACTGGAATAAAAAATTGACTCCTTTTAAATTATAGCAACATTGTAGTATGAAGCAACTTTAAAAGTTTACCTTTTAATCAAGTTACAGATATTAACACACAAAACTGAAGACACAGAACAGTACGTTTGTGGTTACAGACACTTACACACGATTTTATCCACAGGATCATGGTCATCAAAAGTAACAAAGCCAAAGCCTCTTTTCTTTCCAGACTGCCTATCAGTAATTATTTCAATGGTATCAATTTTTCCGTATTCCTCAAAGTAATCTCTAAGGTGATGTTCCTCAGTATCTTCCTTAATTCCACCAACAAACAGCTTCTTCACAGTTACATGAGCCCCTGGTTTTCCAGATTCCTAAAACAGTGGTGGTGTAAAAGTCAACCAGAGAAAACACAAACATGATACAAAGCACCTGACCTTTATACCACACTTGTCTCCTATCCATCTTATAATATCAGATATAAAGCAATACCTTTTGGGGACCTAGACTTTTGAAAAATGTTAGCTTAAGAAAATGGTCCAGAAACCCAACACAGCTAACAAGGGGAAAAATCTTGAGTTAAAACTCAATTCATAAATACTTTCTGATGTTCGGTAGGGCAGCATTCTTCATGTTAATTGCACAAGACAGTCATGGTCTGCTTACCTCTCTTGCTACAGCACGTTTTGGCTCAACGACTCTCCCATCAATTGAATGAGGTCTTGCAGCCATGGCAGCATCAACCTCAGCCATGGATGAGAAAGTTACAAAACCAAATCCTCTTGATCTTTTGCTTGCAGGATCCCTCATTACCTTTCAAACCAAAGGGGAAACTTTAGCATTTAATCTCATTATTGTAGTAAACATTCATTGTAATAGATTTTTTTACTATGGTGATGCACAATTTCTTCCATGATTCACTTAACATACAGCTAAACGACTAGTATTTTGACACAATTCAGTAATTTACGTACCACACAATCTGTAAGCTTTCCCCATTGTTCGTAGTAGTTCCTCAAACTTTCTTCTGTGGTTTCAAAGCTTAAGCCACCAATAAAGAGCTTACGGAACTGTTCCTTTTCTCTCTGCAAAGGAAAGCACCATTTCAATTTTTATTTACATTTTTCTCTTTGTATGCAGGAAATTAAATTCTTAAATATGAGGTGACCTGCTGGCAGAGTACCTTTTTCCTCTCCAAAGGAACAGTTTCTAAAGTTTTCTGGGGGGGAGAAAAAAAACTTACATCAAATTTAAACCATATGTTAAACTGCATATTAGTTGTGTTACACCAAAAAATTGCCTCAGCTGATCTACACAAGTTTCAAAGTCATTAATGCTTGATCTAAATTTACTCAACATTAAATAAACTTAAACAAATTATTAAAAAAACTTTCTAAGGAGAAATGAACAAATGTAGACCGTGGTTATCAAAAGATTAGTAAAGATTCTTTACCCAAAAATTTCAACCCTATAACCTAAAACGCAGATTTCTATTTTTAAACACCAGAAAATAACTCTTGGATCCTTGCTTATGAACCAAATTCACGATTCAGTGTCTGCAAAGTACCATTTATTTTCCCTTAACTGCCCCCTCTGGTGGTGATTCTTAAGTACCTCAGCAAAAAAAAAAAAACAAAACACTGAATACTAGTTTTCTCCACATTACTGTTACAAAACATTTAAGCAGTCAAGATATGCATTTGAAATAACCTTAAAAATTACTCAATACATTCACCTGGCATAAACTCTAAGCAGGTTTTTAAAGATACTGAAAGGTGAAGCTTACTGAACTTGATTGGCCATGTAGGAAGACACGGCACAAAACGATTTTCCAAGTCGAAAGGAAAAATCTCAGAGCTGAAATATTTTAATACCTGCAAACCAACAAATATGCTGTACTACATAGCATTGTATTTTGGGCAGTTAAGGAAGAACGTTAAATAAACATGTCTTAAAAGGTAACTAGGTTAAAAACCTCACACGAGAATAAGTCATATATATCCAAGACCAATTGCTATGAATGCATAATGCAAACTTAAGAGTCACTTATCATTGAGTCAAGAATTTTTTATTTCTAGCAAGCGGCATTTATTGCTGCTCTCATCCCAGTTCTACAGAGCTCTCCCTCCATCCACATGTTCACAACTGCTTAAAAAAAAAAAAAGGTGATAAAAGCCAGTTGAGATCTTTTTCCTGTAGTGTTGTCTTCAGGACTCGTAAAAATTAAAATAATAATAATAATAACTGAAAGTATCAAACTAGCTCCCATAAGACACATAGCGGTCTTCGAAATGGTTCCTTGCCAAGATACATATATTGACTTTTTTCAGCTAGCTTTTATTGTCAGTACATATGTCTTTCAAACTCAAATTAAGGATAATACACATCTATAACAAGTCTTACAAATCACTAACAAAAAGCAAAAACTCATTACTTACCTCACAATTTTTCCAAACTTACCCGATGTCCACTATCGGTTATTAACAATGTTATTTTATAAACGTGCTTAGAGTCAAAGAAAATAACCAGGTAGACCCCCTTCGCTTGAGACCTTATGCTTATCAATGTAATGTTCAACCAAGATTGCAAACATAAATGAGAAAAGCAAGTAACAAGTTCAAATACAGAGCGGCCCAGGCCCAATACAATTTTGCATATCAATACACACGCATTACAGGAAGGAGCCTCTGAAGCCATGTTTTAACCTAAGTACGACTAAGGACAAAACACTTTTTACTTTCCTCGTAATCTTTATTCCATAAAGGTCCGGGGATTGGCCCCGTAAAGATTAAACTTCTCAGTAAAAATATTTTCAAAATGACTGACCTCTCCAATTTAAGTGGAATCCTTAAGGGAAGTAAAGGATCCTGACGTGAATATCCCTCCCCCGCCCCGAAAACCACCATTCTCCCTGCCGCTCGCGGCCGAGGGCTTCCAATTTGTGTCTACTTCGCTGGGATTCATCTGCCTTATTAGTAACCGAAGACCCAGATAAAACCATCATTCAAAGAAGAAAAAAAAAAAAAAAAAAAACAGGAAAAATATAAAATGGTTTATTTGTCCTATGGCTGGCGTTGAACCCGGCCCGACGCTCTAAGTGGTGATTATCTTCTCTGAAACTGGGCCTGCGAACCCGGCACCACCATCCCCCCACCCGCCCCGCTCTTCCGTGTGGCTTCCGAACGCAATGGCGCCATTTCATCGAGGGGAAGGCTGAGCGCCTTTAATGAGGTGCGCAGGACTCTAAAGATCCAAGCTCACAAAACACTCCAAATCCACCTCGAAACGATATGAAAACAACCCGAGAAGAGAGAGAAAGAGTTAACCACCTCTAAACCTTGATTGAGAAATCACACTAGAAGAATTAAGTCAGTTAAAAGAAAAACGCTAAAACGAAGGCGAGCCATGAAAATGGCGGCCGCCAAATCCGGTTCCCGGGAGAGAGGGGGAGGGGAAGCTCCGCAGCCCCGCTCACGAGGACCCGCTGCCCGCCGAAAAGCTCGCCGTGAAAACGCCGGAGCCCCCGAAGCAGCGTACTTTAAAAAAGGAATAAGAATTCCCGCCTCCGCGTCCCACTTTCACCCCAGCGGGGCTGCGTCCGCCATGTGAAAGTTTCCCATCCCCCACCCCCCGTGAAGGGAAATGGCGCCGGGAGGCTGAGGGTGGGGAAGCTGTTTGTACGCTCAGGCCTCTGTCAAGACCCTGTTCAAAAACCTAGAGCTCCACTGCTACTGAAGCGGTCCAATTTCGTGCCGCTCTCCCACGGAGGCGGCTGGCCGACTTCTACTGAGGCGCCAACGGCCTCGCCATGCCCTTTCCAATAACTCATTGATTTCAAACCCGTTACCTCCATCGCGGACTCAGTCGCTTCAGCCCGATTTCCCGCAGCCGAGCGAGATGAGAGAGATCTCCGCGGACGAACACGAACCGGACTCGTCCTGGCGCTGTAGTGAGAACTGCCGCTGCTCGAGAAACAACACCGCTAGCGGCACCTCCGCACGGGACCCGACGCTGCTGCTACTGCCGCTAGAGCCGCTGCCGCCGCTTTTCTAGAACCTTCCCCCCCGACTAACGCGTCTTCCTCTACGTCAGGCCGTTGCGTAAACGCCCTAACCGCCGCCAATGGCGGGAAGGCTCTACGCCCCGCCTTACGCCAAGGGCGTACTCCTCCCCACCTCGCAGCTAACGATAGTGCCCGACGTTACTTCCGTAAATGCGCTCAGTGAATTGCAGATGTCTCGAGACCTGCGTGCTATTACCTCTCAGAATAGGGTCCCGCCCCCACGCCTCCCCGCCCCCACGCCTCCCCGCCTTGGGCGCAAGGCAGGTGAGAAACGGTCGCGCAGTTTGAAATTAACGCCGACGGGAGGAGCTTAATCCGCAGCCCGGAGGTCCAGCCCCCTCAACCCGGGAGGTGGTCTCTGCAGCTACGCCTTTGATACCCATCTCCCTTCTCCCGCCATAAAAATCTTAGTAGCTTTCCCTTTTCGTTTTCCGTGCCCCGACTCAGCCCCTTCCGGAAACACCCAAATCAACTTATAGTCAAATTACTATTCACGCCACACTGACCTAATCCTGGCCCGCGCCTATGGGGCTGACCCCTGGGATCGAGGAGGAGTCTCTGCCAAAAGTGGTCCCAAAGCGAGTACTAGTTTTGAGGCTCCCAACTCCCCCTCCCCCAGCGTCTGGAGTATTCCACACCCCAGGGGCGAGGAAGTAGGCGGAGTCCGGTTTTGGCGCCAGCCGCAGAGGCTGCCAAGCAGAAAAGCCACCGCCGAGAGACTCCGGTCACTGTCCGCGCCCCTCCTTCCCTCTCCCTCCCCTCGGGGGACCACCAGGAGCCAGCCGCAAACGGTAAGTGCCGCGGTCGTCGCGGCCGCCCTCGCCACCTTGGGCCCCAGTTCCCAGCGGGCGCGGCGCACGGCCCCTCCCCCCCGCCGGGCGCGCGCCCGCCGCCCCGCCTTTCGTGGCCGCCCGGCGTGGGCGGTGCCACCCCTCCCCCCCGGCAGCCCCGCGCGCAGCTCCCGGCTCCCTCCCCCCTTGGATGTGGCTGGAGCTGCAGGCGCGCAGGGCCGAAGACGCCGCAGACCCGCGACCCGGAGCAGCTCGGAGGCGGTGAAGTCGGTGGTTTTCCTTTTCTCTAGCCCTCGTTCGGTGGTGGTTTTTTAGATACCACACACGCTCCGGGGGCCCGGTTCCTTGCTCCCCTCCCCTTCCTTCCCCGCCGGACCCCGCACCTGGAGCTGCGGGAAGGGATGGAGGGTCGGGCGGTGGCCTTGCGGCTGGCCTGGCGCAAGCCGGCGCCTGCAGTTAATTGGGGGGACTGCCCTGCCCTCGAGGGGGTAGAGAGTTGTGGCGACGGTCACTCTCTTAAGAGACAAAGCGCATTTCTCTTCCCCTCCCCCACCAGCGTTCTGGCGGAGGGGCCCCCTCCCCTGGCCGCCACGCGGGGCTGGGCCGAGACTTGGGCCTCCGGGAGGGTGGCGCGCGGCCCCGTTACGTGGCCGCCGCGGGGGTTGCGCGGGCGGTGTGGCGCAGTGCCCTTGAGCCCCTGCGACGCGGCCTTTGTTTCTCCCAGCAGATGAGCTGACCACGAGGCCCGCGCTCCCGGGTGGGGGCGAGTGCCCGCGCTTAGGCCTCGGGACGTCGAGCGTGGGGGGCGGGGGGCGGGGCGGAGGGGGAGCGGGTGTATGAAAGAGGTGATTGCTTCTTCAAAGTGTCACGAAACAGGGACTGAAGCATCTTAAGTTTTTTTCTTTTAGTTATTTACCGATTGGAAAGAGGGAGGGTTTCTGAGCAGAAACCAAGTTAGGATTGCAGAGCAGAGAGAAGATTCACGGTGGTTTACCGTTGTGAGTTGGTAATTTTGCCTGGTTTTAAACCGAAAGGGTTGTCCTTTAAAAATGGGACATGGACTTTATCATAAGTGGGACTTCGATTGGAAAAGACGCTTGTCCCCTGTTTTAAGCCATATAAAGCTGTATTAGGTACCAAGATCTCCAGTAAAGTCTTTCTAGACTCACTTGGTTAGGAAGACATACTTAAACATGTGCACCATAAGCAATTTAAGTAGGAGCGCAAATCTGCTCTGGAATTGGTATCCACGTTTGAAATGTGCGCTCCCTACTTGGGGGTTGGAATCCAAACAGAACTTGTGTTTAGCTACTCTTTTTTGTGTCGTGCAAACATCTTTTAACTGTCATGCATTTTTCTAGTAATAGCTCTTCAAGTCTGCAATAAAAAATGGCCTCCAATAAAACTACATTGGTAAGTTAATGAAAACATATAATATGTAAGGATTTAACTAAAGTTTTTTTCCCCGAAAAAGTGTAACGTTGCATCTCTGTGGTTGAGAAATTTACATCCACATATTTCCCAGCTCTCCCAGCATAATTATAGGGGAAAATTAGGAGCAAAATGAAATCATTACATGGAGATACTGACTTGGCTTCATAGTGTCTTAACTAGTTTTAAAAAGGCTAATCTTTGAAGGACAGTGCATTTTGGATTTTGCTGAAGATTTTTATCTTCAAATAGAAATACACAAATTTTTGCAACGTGCAAAAATGTTGCATGAAATGATAAAGCCCTTTTTGGTTGACAGAATCCTTAAATCCACTGAATTGTAGAGAAGTATTTTCATTAAAGCCCAATTTAAAGAACGAGGGTACCCTGTGCACCTAGATTGGAGCAAAAGTCAATAAACTTTCAAATTCCTTTGGTCACTTTATCTTGTTTTAACTTACTCTAACTTATAGAAGAATCAAATTTAATTTATTGCAGTGTTCTGTTATTTGAACACAAAGTGATCGAAATCACAAATATGACCCAGGAGGGAGAAAACACTAGATCTTCTGTATCTTTTGACCAATATTTTTCTCTCCAGCAGTTTAAGACATACGTATATTCAGCCATATCAAATTTCAAGTTTTTTAAAACGCTGGAATAGTCACATAAAAATCACGAAATTCATGGTCCTAGTTCTCACAACATTTAATTCTAACATACCACTAATCATAAGCGTGTAAAGGTGTTAGATGTCTCCTAATTAAAGCAAAGCATTTGTTTTTGGTCTGTATATTCTCTCTTTGGGTTTCACACTAAAACGGGCACGTTGGTGTTTTTTTAATTCGTGCCATCATTAGATTGTACATTTAAGTCTGATACTCTGGAAAACAGATTGAGATAAGTAATGTAAAACCTGTCTGATGAGTCAGTGGTGCAAATTATTCTCATGTATTGTATTGTACGTGGAGATGAGAACCATCAGTGGCTCCTCAGGATTGAGTTGACCTTCAGATTCCATAATCGGTAAACCAAAGTGTAGGTAATTGCCTTAAGTTGCTTGTATTCTCCTTCAAGTATTAGATGGGAAAGGAATTAGCTGTTTATGAGGCTTTAAGGCTGAATATAAATACAGAAAGCAAACAAATAGATGTTCCCATTAAAATTAAGTTGTTTTTGCACAGTTGATAGCTTTTGTAATCTGTTATTTATTGGTATTTAAATATTTTGTGAAGGGTCACAAGTTGACCACTTTAAAAGCTTTTAGCTAACTTTTCATTTTAAAAATTCATTAGTGTTGTGAGATGTGTGTGCTGTAATTTAAATGGGAAATAATTAATTTCACTTAAATAATGGGAAATCTATTGTGACTCAAATTCACCTTTGGAAAAAACTGCTGGGTTAAGAAATGGTGAGCATTTGAAACTAGCTTGTGAATGCCACAGTAGTAAGAACTGTATGGCATTTTGTCTGCCTTTTTTTTTTTTTTTTAATCTTACTGTGTATCCTTTTTGTTTTCTGTATTTATTTTGGACTTTCTTCTCATTTTGTCAGCCTTCTCCCTTTGTGGCAGTAGCTGTTTTGTTTTTCATCTAGTATAGGTGTCTAACACACGTCTCCCTATTGCAGTTTGTCTTTACTCCTCCCACTATTATTTCTACCTTCTTTTACTGTACAGAGGTAGAAAGCTGTTTGGGCCCAATACTCAAGTATCTTTACTAATGAGAATCGTAAGACCTGACTTGGACATGGCATTCAGAAAAGTCAGGTGTTTGCTGCACTTTTTTGTATTCTAGGGGATTTTTAATTCGTGTGTGTGTATGTGTATGTACGTGTGTACACTTATATGCTTGCATAGCTTGAAATGTCCTTTTGCAGTCTTGAGGCCTTACATATGTGTCTGCACACTCCATATGCCTGCATAGCTTAAAATGTCCTTTTGTAGACTTGAGGTGTTGCTCCTTTTTTGTGCTCCGGTGCTTTAGTTGTGGGATGGCTTTAGTGACTGGGCAGTGGAGGTTTATATTTTTTTAATAGCATTTGTTTTAAGGTGAAATTTTAAGATAGGTTCTTTCTCAGCCCATAGTAACTTCTGATTAACCATTTCAGGTTTTTGAAATTTTCCCCATTTTTAATCCTCTCATAACATGTCTTGAGTTACTGGAAAGAACTGGTTGAAGTTGGTCTCCTACAGTGTTACACCACTACCAGTTAAGATTTTCTCTTGAGAAACCAGGAAAGAACAATTTTTTTCACATTAGGGAATTAAAATGAATCAGCCATTTTGGCCTCTTGAAGTGACAGCTTTATAGGTTTGTTCTAAGTGGTAAGAAATAACTACAGAGATTACGGAAAAATAATCTTGTCCTTTAACCCCCTTGTGGTGTCCATAGTTGACCCTGCAGTTGGTATCAGGATTTTGAACCATATTTTCATTCTGCTGTTAGCTTTTCTCTGTATCGTTGGAGCTTTTGACATTAATATTTGAATTGAGAAGGAGGCTCTTACCATCTGGGTGTGTCTGTAAGGTCTGTCATAGGTTCACTGAAGACCTGTCACTACTGCTTTCTTACCTGTATCACCCTTTAAGTACTTCCTACACAGTTGTTCCTGTATTGTTAAAATGACTGAAAACTCTAGTAAACTTGGTCTTATGAGACTACCTAGAGATAAGACTGAGAAAAGAACTATTTTCCAGATAATGTTTTGGATTGTGTTATTTTGGGTGGTGGGCTGTAAGTTTCAGCTAAATCAACAGAATAAAGCATTCTTTTATTGTCTGTTGACTTTTAATCTTTCCAGAAGGTGTCTGCCCTGGGATATAGAAGTAAATTTTTGTTGAATGTAATAATATAAGCCGTTTAGCCTTGAAAATGTGCTTTAAAGTCAAGAAGAATGTCTCTTAATTTCTCTTTTGTTTTATTTTAGCAAAAAATGGGAAAGAAACAGAATGGAAAGAGTAAAAAAGTTGAAGAGGCAGAGCCTGAAGAATTTGTGGTGGAAAAAGTACTAGATCGACGGGTAGTAAATGGGAAAGTGGAGTATTTCCTGAAGTGGAAGGGATTTACAGAGTAAGAAATCTTAGTGCTTCTTTATTGTATGTTTAACTGCAACTGAGTGGTTTTAA